CCAAAAGCACTTCTCGGGTCGAGAACCAGTAGTATTAATAATGTCTCCACCACCCTTCCTGATTCCTCAGAATCCCAGAAAGGTATCACACAAGTCGAATTAACGATTCCACTTCTCGATCAGTGACACCATCAAATCATTCTTCTCAGCCTGGGGAGATTCCTTCTACTCCAGATGCGCCGTTTTCTCGACCACGACTACGACTTGGGAGAGATAGTGACGAGGAAGATTTCGGTCGTGTTGCTTCTGTGGGGTTGGGCTGTTCCGGGGGTGCTTATGGAGGGTTTTGGAGAGCCTCTGGTCTTTATTCCTCTGGGAACCGGGAGGATTTGCTGAGTGTACGAGTTAATACAGAACTCCTCGGTTACCATCTCTTTCCAAATATTAATCGACAGGCTTGGACGTGAAGGCCGTCGAGCCTACTTTGATTTGTTTTGACAGCACAAATGAGCAGGAAAATTCCGCTCTAGTGATAGTCATGGGATTGAAGAATTGGGTGACGGTCCCGATTCAAAATGGGCAGATTTACCTTGTGAAGTCAAACCATATATGGGGGTCGATTTTGACTTGGGCAAGATGCGTAGTAGAAACAAAATTTTACCGAGCAGCAATCACTTTGGTCTCACTCAAAATTTCAGGCTGATTGATGCTTCTCGACATAAGTATTGAGCCTCTACAAAGCACAAGAGACTGCCAGGAGAGCAAATTTTGGCAGAATTGTATTTAGACGCTCTCTTCTGAGGGTTTTCGATTTTCGGGTTCATTTCCAACTCCTGATTTCCGGGTTGGATAACAGACAACTAACGACCCAATATGAATAGCAAGAATATACACTCATCCACAGCAGCGGAAAACACATACCAATCTATCAAGATTTTCAGAGCGAGGACGGCACTAGAGCTCTTCATACATACCATTGTGTTTCCGAGCCCAACAGTTCTGATATAACCATTTTCCATCCACAATTAATCTGCCGCTGAACTTGTGGGACTCGCTGGGAACAGACTGTATTCTTTGCTGTTAGTGTTGATCGATGGGATGCAGATACTTTGGAGTAGGTATGCTATCATCAGCCTCGTGATGGATATGCTGCGCCAGGATATTCATTTCAACAACTGATTACCCAACAGAGGGTCGAAAAGTACTGCTCGTGATAAATTTGGGGACTGAATTCCGCGATGAAAGGAAACAGGTTCGCGAGAAGGTAGTACTTAGGTCCAGAAGTAAACGCAGAAGAAGTTCTTGATTAAGGCAAATATTGTTAAAAGGCAGACTCTACACATTTCACTTACATTTGCTAGGGCCCTAGAGGGTGAGACTCTGAAATTCCTTGAATTTGACATTGTCTTTGGTATCGCTTGATACCCCTATCCAGATCCAGAGCACTTGAAATGGAGGAAAGTTCATGTTTTTTTATGTCATTTCCAATGTTGTGATTGGCATCTCGAGCATCTGGAATCTCCGATATCTTGAACGATTCCTAGTATATATAATTATAGTTATCCGATTTCCCTACACTTATCATAGGTCCTCATAAGCAATCATATACATCCATTTCAGTACACGCAAGGCTTCGAGGGTTGAAGACAAGGTCGAATTAGGCGGCTAGTCTGTATTAATAGTGGTATTTATTCGTACGAGACTAGATATCTGTAACACCAAAAATTTCGTGATTTGAGTAAATTGTATAGAATTCAATATCATAAACAATGTTTCGTCATTTTCAGCCATATAATTGTGGATTTGAAAACACATTGAGGTTCATCGGTTCCGAGGTCTGTTTGAGAGAAAGTTGATTGCACAGCCACACTCGAGCCAAGATTTCTCACCACCATACAGAAAAATACGTCATTGTGGCTCTTGCTGCTCCCTACCTACCAGTCCAGGCTCTCCTCACATAAACAACAAGTAAATTACAAAGTGATGAATATTCCAGCCTGATATCATCTTCATTTAACTCGATTTTCTTCCAAGGAAGGAACAATGGTCTACAACAACAACATCAGCACAACCCAGATTCCCTAACAAATACTATACCTCCTTTCTTTCTTCGAACCAAACAAACTACCACGAAGCACACGCCATCCATACTCAAAAATGGCCTCACTCCTTCGTCAAATTGTCGCAGGTCCGCGTTCTCGTCACCCAGAAGCAGGATTGGATCTCTGCTACGTAACACCTAATATAATTGCGACGTCTGGACCCAGTGGCACATATCCGCAGCGAGCATATCGCAATCCGCTCGATCAACTCGTTACATTCCTCGATTATAAACATGGGAAAGAGGGATGGATGATATGGGAATTTAGGGCCGAGGGGACTGGATATCCGGACGAGGAGGTGAGAGGAAGAGTTAGACATTGGCCATGGCCGGATCATCATCCGCCGCCTTTCAAGTTGGTTCCGGGGATTGTAGGAGGAATGAGAAATTGGTTGGAGGGGGCGGGAGACGGCGAGGGAAAGGATGAGAAGAAAGAAGGAGGAAGGGTGGTGGTTGTGCATTGTAAAGCTGGGAAGGGGAGAAGTGGCACAATGGCTTGTAGTTATTTGATTGCGGAGTGTGGATGGAAGGCATCCGAGGCACTTGCGCGATTTACAGAGAGAAGAATGAGACCGGGTTTTGGACAGGGAGTCTCAATACCAAGTCAATTGAGATGGGTTGGTTATGTGGATCGATGGACACAATCTGGCAAACATTATGTTGATCGACAAATTGAGATTATGGAGGTACATGTGTGGGGATTAAGAGATGGTGTGAAAGTCCAAGTCGAAGGATATGTTGATGAAGGCAAAACAATCAAATTATTTCACGTCTTTACAAAGAAAGAAAGAGTGGTGGTAGAAGGAAATACACCCGGTAGTGGGGGACTCAAAAACATGATATCCGACATGGCAGGATTTGGAAACCAAGATAAAATCGCAACATCCAAAAGCGCAGATCGAATTGAGGAACCCAAAAATCTAAAGCCAACACCACGAGCTACAGAACCCAGTCCTAGCGAATCAGAAACGGATTCAGAAACTGGAGGAGGAGCAGTCATTTTTAAACCTTCTACAAGAGTTATACTTCCTACTAGCGATATCAATATCGATTTTGAACGCAGAAATAAAGCTTCCATGGGTTGGACCATGGTCACAGCTGTTGCTCACGTGTGGTTCAATGCATATTTCGAAGGTAACGGACCTGAAAAGAATGGCAAGCCAGACGAAAATGGTATCTTCGAAATTGAATGGGATAAAATGGATGGAATCAAAGGTTCTTCTCGTAAAGGTACAAGGGCCTTTGATAAACTCGCCGTAGTTTGGAAAGTCTATGATTCCGAACCGGGCCGCGGTAGAAAAGAAAGTGTCATTGAAGAACCTGGTCGAAATTCTCCCGTCCCTGAAGTCCAAGCCGCGGATTGGAAGGGAGAAAATGAAGTTTCTCCTACCAATGGAAATAGAGATTTGGGACTCCGAACAGAAAGTCCCGCGAGCGCGGAAGTTAGTAAGGCGAGTAGTGTGAATGAGGCTGAGAAGGAAAAAGAAGAAGAGAGGAGAGAGGAAGAGGGGTTGAGAGTCTCGAGTCCAACAGGAGAAGAGGATTTGCAGTTGGATATTACAAGTTCACCCAAACCGCAGGGAGATGCGCCGGTGCCGGGTTTGGAACAGATTAATAAGGGACTCGATACGGCGACGTCGACGACGGCTAATCATGAGGCGAGGAAGTGAGTGCAATTTTCGAAACGAGGATGTGTTGAGGGAGGAGAAGTTACTGACGTTGGGATATAGAGATGTAGGGAATCAGAATGGGAGTGGAGATGGAAAGAAGGGAGTTGATGGAATAAATGATATTCCAAATGCACCACACGTATCCACTATCTCGACAGCGGATTTACCGGGTGGTGTACCGGAGGATCAGATGAAGAATGCGAAGGGTCATAAGTTGGGACATTTGCAGAGTGTGAATCGGACTATTAATTCGTAGGGTTGGGGGGTTGCGGGTGTGGGAAAGGATTTGCAGCGGATGTTTTGGAGGATTGGTTAGTGAGATTCTTTTTGGGGGAAGGTGGAAGAGTAGGGGGAGGTATTATTTAAAGAGACAAAGCGGGACAGAACAGATCAGAACAGACCAGAGTAATTTTTCTAGAAAAATATAGATATCATTGCATGATACCTACCCACCTACTTGTCGAACTTTACTCTGATGTTGCTCTTGCTCTTGATGGGGATAAATTATATTTTAGAGGATTTATAATTCTAAACTAGAGATTATATAATTTCGGTTATGGGACTTTGGTGTATGTTGTGATATAAGTAAAATAAAATAAAATAACAATCCATACAAAAGAAATATAGAAAAGCTACAGGTAATTACTGTATAGTGGTAATAGATGGTAATAGGAATTGCAAATGCGCAGTATGTTTGTGGTGTGGTATATATGAAATGATCTCCTCCTCTTTTCTTTTTCTCCTTCTTTCTCCCCTTCCATTCTTTTCTTTCCTAACTCTCAAAAATTTAAACTAATTCCTTTCTCTCCCAACCATCAAAAATCCAATCCAATTCAGATCAGATCAGATCAACCAACCCGCACCAGATCAAGCCAAGCCAGACCAAACCAGATAGACCAACCACCCCACACCCTCTAAACACATCCTCTAAACCTTATCCCTCAAAACATCACTCACACTCCCACTCGCCGAATGACTCGGACTATACGCGCTACTCCCAGGGGTATATCGAAACCCATCCGCCACACTTCCACTCTCCTCACTCCCATCATTATCTTCATACGCTGGCAACACCTCATCATCATCATCTTCATCATCCATTCCCATCCCAACTCCATGAGTATTATATCCATCAAAACGACGTATCTGATCTTCAGATACGTTTCGCTGATGAGTATGAGCAGATACAGATACAGAAACGGGAATAAAAATGTAATGCGCGGGGGCGGGACCGGGACCGGGAGTAGCAGAAAAAATGCGTCCTTCCTCTGCTGCGACCATGTCGCTTACTATATCCGCTGCATTGCGGAAGGAGGAAATATCTCGGCTGATGGAGAATTCGGAGGGGTTGTTTTCGTCTTCATTTTCACTTTCGCTTTCACTTTCATAGTTGGAATCGGAAGCGGAAGCGGAGAGTAATCGATCTTTTCTTCGAAATCTTCTTCTTGGCCTAGGATGCGGTTCCAGTAGGTTCTGAAAGTGGTGCCGCGGCGACGAGAGCGGGGGTTGAGATGTGGGTGGTGGGTAGAATGAGATTTTGGGTGGCGGGTGCGTCGGTGGAGAGTGATGAGGAGGAGGGAGAGGAGGAAGCCGATGAGGATGAATTTGAGGATGTGGAGGGGGAAGTGGGGTGGGCCGTGGGGAGGGGGGCCTGAGAAATCATCTTCGAGGTGGTGGGGAGGGCTGTCGAAGTGTTCGGGTTTGGAGTGGGGTGGTGGAGGAGGATGCGAGCTTTGGGGGGCGGGGTGGAAGGGGGAGGAGTGAGGGAGGGGGGTGTCGAAGGAGGGTTCTTGGTCTTCGTGCGGACCATTGTGAGGTGGGCTGTGGTGCGGTTCTTCGTTGTGTGGGTGGTGGGGTCCCTCATGTTCTGGCCCTTCGAATGGTTCTTCATGTGAATGATGTGGTCCGTTGTATTCAGGTCCGTCAAATGGTCCCTCGTGTGGATGTTCATCATGATGATGTTCAGGATTATCGAAATCTGGGCCTTCAAATGGTGGTGGTCCTTGTTCATGATGTGGTTTAGTATGTTTTCCATGAGGTCCTTCAAATTTATCTTCAAATTTGTTATGTCCTCTGTGAGGTCTGTCTAACTCTTCAGAATCATCTCCATGATGTCCATCATGGTGTCTTGGTCGTCCTTCCCAAGGTCCATGTTCCTCTTCATCATCATGGAAAGGATGCATTTCATGGTGTCTTCCGTGTTCGAATCCATGAGGACAGAATTCATGTGGAGGAGGTCCATGGGGAGGTACGTGTGGTGGTCCATGTGGTCCATCATGATGAGGACTACGAGGATGAAAATCAAAAGGTGGAGGATAATGACAAATTGGAAGAATATGGTGTCGATGAGGAGGGAAGTGTGGACCGGTATGGTTGTTCTTGCCGTGAGGCACATGTGGAGAAGTATGGTTTCCGGATGTATGATTACCTGGTTTTCCGTGAAATCCTTTACCATGTTTCTTATCCTTCTTTGAGCGTGATTCACGAGAATGATGGAATGATTCTTCATCAAACTCATCACCAGCGATTCTTCCGTAGAATTTACGAGCTTTCTCGCTAATAACTCCAGCGACGCATCGAAGACTATCACAATCTCTGATTCTGTCATCAAGGTTGTGATGTTCTCGAGCGTGTTTTGAGATGTGATGTTTCTTTTTGTGGATGAGATACTTCAACTCTTTCATTTGAGCTTTCATGTATCTAAGCTCAGCCAATTCTTTGTGAATGTTGAACTCTTTGTGACTCATGTGGTGTTTATGCTCTCCCTCTGGACCGTTACCCATAGGATGCTTGTGTTCTCCTTCAGAACCCTCGCTCATATGATGTTTGTATTCCTCTTCAAATCCCTTGTCCATATGGTGCTTATGTTCTTCCTCTGGACCCTTTCCATTGTGATGTTGCTTATCCGATGATGAGTGATGCTCGATAACTTGATCTTCTTCTGAGGAAATAGTTTCGATATTCATAATCTCTGTCTCTCCAGTCTGTCTGAACAAAACCGAGAACCCTGAATTCTCAATTGCCTTTCCATCAACAAAATCAATCATAAACTTCATAAGTTGTCCACGTGGTTTACCATCAATAACGATACAATCGAAAGACCATGATCCCACTACGATTTTATTTGTTGATGTCGAAATGGAACCTTTTCCAGACGAGATTGAAGTTTCCGAATCGAATGCTTGTGAGAGAGGTTGACCATCGATTAGAACATTTCCAAAACCACATGCTTCTATGGAGTGAAGGATATCAACTCGAAGGTCTAGAGGGGAGACATCAGCTGATGAGGAATCATGTCCAAGATCAAGTCGAACGAATCCCATGGTATAAGCTTCTAGAAGTAAAATTTAGTTTTGATAGGTATGAAATCGTAACTCAGATATAACCTAACCAGTAGTGTCAACATCATTCTTTCGAATTCGACATCAACATCTTGTTCTGAAGTTGGTGGTAAAACAAACGCCGACACTATGGCCGGCGCAAGTAAGAATGCCTTTAGAAGGCTACGCATAATGATGAGAGAGCACAGAAGTAAAAGATAGAGTGAAATAACAATGAGATTTAATAATAAATAATAAATAATAAATAATAAATAATAAATAATAAATAATAAATAATAAATAATAAATAATAAATAATAAATAATAAATAATAAATAATAAATAATAAATAATAAATAATAAATAATAAATAATAAATAATAAATAATAATCAATAATAATAATCAATAAAGAAATATCATGCAATAGCACAATATCGAGATATAATATTAATTGTATGGAATACTGTACTATTTCTACCAGTACAATATCTAACCGAATAATTACTCGAGTAGACAAAAGATCAAAAAAAGATCAAACACAAATTTGACCAAAAGAACAGAGAAAGCCTTGGAATTAAGAGGAAAGAAATCAAAGAAATCAGTAATAATAATATAACGATATAAGGTTTATTATTTTCATCTTCCCCCACTGCCTTACGAGTCCCTTCACGATTGCGCAGTCATGATTAACAGAAACTAACCAAAACGATATTACGCGTCGTCAGCATCAAAGCGGTTATCACGGAGTAGGAGAGTAGGATAGCAAATAAGAAACGAGAAATGTTTGCGTGCGAGGAAAGACATCTGGATATGTTGATTGGAGGCGACGACTTTGATATAATCTTATACTTACTAGACTAGATACCTCGACATCAAAATATGCTTTAAGTGATGGCCATGAGTGAAGGGTGATATTTTGATATTTTGATATTTGGTGATAAGCGGACCTTTCGGACATTTCCATTGGCAGCTGGAGAGTCGAGTTTCTGTCGGTACCGAGAACTGATAATGTTGCCTGAATTTTAAGGCTACAATTTGTACCTCAATTCTGACATTCTACCATTTTGCCTTATCAAACAACATTATATCATCTATCCATTCATCTCCAAAATGGTTGTATGTACTCCCTCAAAATGATATCTACATTTCCACCTCTCCTAAAAGCTGCATCACTTGTGCGCATACAATCTGCGATACTAATTTCTTCTGCTATAGCTCCCCTTAGGTCTACTCACGGCCGCACAAGGTCACCCAATGCTGGTTGAGCTTAAGGATGGCGAAACTTTGAACGGTCATTTAGTATCATGCGATACCTGGATGAATTTAACTTTAAAGGAGGTGGTTCAAACGAGTCCGGTACGAAAGATTCTGTCGAGGGTGGAGCTGGGGCGTTGGATGGGAATGCGCTGAAGCTAATACTTCGAAATTCAGGATGGCGATAAATTTACAAGGTTACCAGAAATATATGTTAAAGGAAACAATGTACGTTTTTGTTAGGAAAAGTCGGACGTGGGTTAGAAAAGCTATATCCTAATTCATTTCGCAGATCAAATATCTACGAATGCCAGATGAAATTATCGATTTAGTAAAGGATCAACAACAAGGACAACAAAACAACTACAGAGGTCGCGGAGGTAATAGGGGCGATAGAGGTGGTGATCGAGGTCGTGGTGGTAGAGGTGGAAGAGGAAGAGGAAGAGGAGGGAGAGGAGCTTGACACATTGATGGTGGTGATAATGAGCTGAAATTGGACTCGAAGAAGCTACATAATGGCACGTATAATATACACAAAGTGCAGAGGGGCGGCTACCTTTCTTCTTTATGAAGATCGAAGGATTTCGATATATGCGGCAGATTTGCCTTGAAATGATGCAGGCAGGTATACCGGGCATATGATAGGTTCATATTGGATGTGAGAAATCGTTGAGGCACATATACATATGTCTCAGCAGAGTCTCAAACCATCACATATTTCGAGATCATAGCCCACAGCAACAAAAACAACAATTTCCCCCAAATGCTTTTATCTTGAACTTCCTCCATAGCAAATTAAAATTACCCCTGTCGTTCGCATGAATCCCGCCCAACGAATCGCGGGGATCCTATCTTCCCCTCTGTTCCCACGTGATTCTATAACATTTCCGCCGCGCCTAGAAATCTTTCCGCGAACCTTGAAAATAAAAATTATAGATCAACTCAATGACGACCACAAAAATTCCAATTGATGGACTATGGCGATGTCTTTGTCCTTCTATAGATTCATTCATTTTTGCGCGTTCCAATACCTTTAACCAACTACCCAGAAAGTTCTTAAATCGTCCTTGGGTTAAGAATAAAAAGATCCCAACATGTTTAAAAAGTCGATCCTTTCATACCACTACCACGACGTCTTTGCCTGCGTTAAACGGGCAATATACTGCGAGATCGCGACATAGTAGAGAGAAGCTGAATATACCGAAACCTATTAATTTGGAACAACTGAATAACGATGAGATTCATGAACGATTGAGAGAATTGAAGACGGAAGCGGGGGCATATACACAAGTCGCAGAAGTGGTGGAATATTTGGTCAAGGTCAGGCAGGAAAAACCTGCGTTGATACATTATGATGCATTGATTGCAGCCAATGCGGATCCTGAAAATGGAAGTGTAGAGGTTGTGAGGACTTTGTTGGAAGAGATGAAGGGGTTGGGAATTGGTGCTGATTCGGGACTGTATCATACGGTTTTACAAGTATGTATACTTCACGATCTCTCTTGGGAGCAAGATGGCTAATGGTTCACGTTGAACAGGTACTTGCGATTCATCCAGATTATCTTTTACGAACTCAGATGTTGGAAGAAATGAAGGAGCGTTGGTATGGTTTATCTCCAACTGGATGGCATAATTTGGTCATTGGTCTACTTCGCGATCGTCAATATGAGTTGGCTATGGACAAATTTGAACAAATGCAAGCAGATCAAATCGCAATTAAGCCATGGCTTTACGATATCTTCTTCTTTAGATTATGTGAATTGGACGAGTTGGATGAAGCTTTAAGACTGTTGAAGTCTCGATATGATCAACCAGTACTGGCTATGCATATGTATTATCACTTGTTGGATTCATTTGCTAGTTCATTTCATGTAAGCAAATTTTATACCATAGCTTTATTTCATCTATTGACTTTTGATGTAGTATGAAGGTACCAGTTATATCTGGAGACTTTTGGTTGAAACCTCGGAAATGAATCCTGCAGATGGAACTTGTACCGCAGTCTTAAATTGTGCTGCTCGTCATGCAGACCCCAGTTTAGCTACATCAGCCATTGGACTTCTTTCCAAACGTAGCACTGTTCTTGGCGTGCATCATTATGAAGCTCTTCTCGAAGCTTACGTCGGGATTGAAGATATCAAAACTTCGTTCCGCATCTTAAATATCATGACCAAAGCAGGTCTCACACCAGACGCAAGTTCCACAAGATCAATATATCTTTGGCTAACAAAATCATCATTCCATGCTCTTGAAGGATGGAAATTTCTTAAATCGTTAAAAGCAGATGGATATACGATTCCCATTGCCGCTGTAAATGTCGTTCTGGAAGGCATCATCTTCACCAATAATCTAAGTCACAGTCATGACTTGGCAATAGATTATTACAAAGAACTCCACCGAATATGCGACGCGGGTCCGAATATCGAAACGTTCAATACTCTTCTCCGAGGTCTGGGTGCTCATGGGAGAGGATCCAAATCTAAAGCTATGTTTCTCGCGTCGGAAATCCAAGCTTTGAATCTCAAACCTGATGAACTTACTTATGATCGACTCATTTTGATCTGTCTACATCCGGAAAACGCAGATTATGAGGATTGTTTTAGGTATTTGGAGGAAATGATGTTGGTGGGGAAAGATAAGGTTGATGCGGCGGGGAGGAGAGGCTGGTGGATGAGACCGGGGACTGTGGTGGCGTTGGTGAAGAGATGCGTGGAGAGTGGGGATGAGAGGGCCTGGCAGTTGATGGAGGATATGAGGGTGAGGGGTATGGTTAATGAGTATACGCGGTTGAAGGTTTGGACGGAGTTGTATTGGCCGAGGGGGAAGGGGAAGGGAGGAGGGGGGGGAAGTTTTGAGGGGGGGGAGGGGGGTTGAGGAGGGGAGGGGGTAGTAAGAAGGAGCTTCGTTTTGGAGGGAGATGAGATGATGATTTGAGTTGATATATATTACTAGAATATTATGAATAATAAATCTCCTTACTTTATCACTTTTCTTCCTTCTGTATTCTGTCCTGTCCTGTCTGGTCTAATTGAATTTTTATACTAATCCTTCCTTTATCTTTATAATTGGAGATGGGAACAAGAACGACAGGAGGAGTTTAGGTGCGGGTGTTGTTGAGTGAGGAGTGAGGAATTAGGAGTGTTTGCGGCTGGGAGGGGGATTGTGGAGTTCTTGGGGAGAGGAGAGGGGAGAGATTGTAGGAGAGTGGTTGTGTGGGTTGGGAGATGGTGGGAGTGGTGGTGATGGTGGGAATTGGTGAGTAGTAAGTGGTGAGGAAGTGTTGTTGTTTATCTACGATACATTCATGCTTCTTGCTCACATTAATCAAACCGAGTGCAGATATTTAGCCCAACAATAATAATTACAACAATAACAGTAACAATAATAACGGATGATATAACTTTTTCAATAGTCAAAACAAAAAGGGGGTACAATCTTTCCTCAACATCAACATCCATAGCTAGGTATGACAACAAATTCTAGTTTAACTATCAGGGTTGAAGAGGTACTCCCGATGCTTCCTATATCGAGATTGTGGAACCTTTTGTTATATTCATGAAGAGAGAAGAGAGGGGAAGAGAAGGGGGGTGGGTTGTATAAATAGGTGGTTGAAGATTATCTAGGTTGATTGGTTTATTGGATATCTTTGGGATTGGATATGGAATGTCAGTTATATTTGTTTGATTCTCTGGCGAAAATTTGTTTATGCATCTTGAGGAAAGCTGTGGTGTACGGGTAAGTATATAAACTCCTCTCATTCTGATTTGCGAGAGGGTAAAAGTAATCAAAATACCTGACAATTGGAGGTCAGGTTGAGCTTCGCAATGTGGCGACTACTGGGTCGCTCATATGAGGAGTTTGGAGGCAGAATGGTAAGTGAGGGATGAGGGTTGAGATGTATGTCGATTCTTGATGGTGGATCTGGGAGATGTGGGAGTATGAGGACGTGAGATGGATGGAAAGAATGAAGATAATGATAATGACAGTGGTTGAGATGAGCAATTACTATCTAAGCGATGAATAGGGATAGAAATATACCAATAACAACAATATCTCAACCCACCCTTTTAATAGTGAAAAATCATATCTATGATTCTTCTATATTATTCCCGGGTCGAAGCAAGAAATAGCTACCTACCTAGGTATCAAGCGATGATGTGAGGTATCCAGTATCCACGAGACCGCAAATCTCGGTTTCCAAAGTCCTTCGAGCGACTGTATAGTTATCTGCACGGAGTTTGTTGTTTCAAAGAGAGAGGTATTATGTGATTATATAGTGTCAGAGGGGTGCATGTAAGATGTGATGGGATGTAATTTGGTGTGGATATGAGATTGGGAGCTTGGAAATTAGAGGGAATTTACTTGGTAGGTTGAGGGATTTGATTTTTAGGTTTCATACTGTATATTTCTTGATTTGGGATCTTCGAAAGAAATTGAATTCGGTCTATATAAAACTCATGTTTTCTGGGTTTGATGAAACAGTAACTTTAGACAAATCGGCACGTGGTGCAAACAAAGGGGGGGGGGGGGATTCGAGGTGTAATTACATATCTTGAAATGTGTACCTATGCATTCTCAACGATTTGGTCTAGTTCAGATGCAGAGAGGTGTATAGATCTAGTATGCAAGTGGAATAAGAATAGAGATGGTATAATAATACGACTGTGAGTTGTTGCTGTCGTTGCTAGGGAACGACCCTTTCTGAACGAACGACAATGAAAAACACACGCGGCTAACATTATGAATATATTTTCATCGCACTCCAATGAGAGATCGAAATAGTTTGATATAGGTTTATTCACGTCCTAACAGTAGGATATAGGATTATTCATCCCTTTCTTCTATGCAGTCACCCAGCTCGACCGACTCTGGAGAAGTTTGTTCGTTAGTCTTCTGCCGGTCTTGCACATCTGTGTCTTATTCTTTAATATTTGATGAGGTTATATACTCAAATTTTCATTCTCAATATCCAAATCGTGTGGTAATACTTGAGATATAATGATACCTCGTTAGGTGGACAGTTTTCTTTAAATCAACTAGAGAATATATGATCATGATCATGAATGGAAATACATGTTAAGAAGCTACGTATATAAACTCGACTTCTAACCAAGAAGAGGCATCGGTGGATTGAGCACATTTCCAACTGGCAATTGTGCCAGGATCTCGGATGAGTTTTTCGACTGATAAATCTGTTGAGAGTTTGTTGCTTGGTCTGGATGGATGGGTCTCTCTGGGTATTGAGAATGAAGTGAGATGAGTTTCTTGATGGGGTGGGAAAGGAATGTTGTAATTTGGTTTTGTTGACGGTGATAGAGTGGGATACGATGACTCTCACCTGTATGTGGTGTATCCTACAAACCTTCGATCATGCGATCGGAGAGCTAAGTAGAGTCAACTGGAGCCGGGTGATGGTTGTACATTAATCGGAGGCCATACTGGGAGTGAAGGTATGCACAACTGATCACCAGAAGGTAATCGCGAAGATACTCGGAATAGAGGACTACTAGCAAAACGGAGATAAAAACTATTCGATAGTGGAAGGGAGATGAGAGCGGGATTGATATGGAACTATGCTTTTACGAATCTGTATAGGGAGTAGAGCTAGAGTATATCGTAATAGAACATTTGCGAAATAGAATTAGCCTTTGAAATAGCGGATAATAAAGCTTCTATAATATAGCTGAATCTGATTGAAATCTATATTAGGAGTAGGGCTGATATCTTTAATTTGACAAACGAAAATCGATAGAACATTTCTGGAATATTAATATGTAAAGTTTTTACAACTCAATAATATATATAATCTGCGGGTATATCGGATTGAATATTTACAAATAATAAAAAAAGTAATAGGAAGTATACAAAAGCTAGGATAATATCTATTGGGGCTGGCGGGAGCATA